TTACTTGGACAAGTGGTATTTTCACAACTGCTTATGTCATTATTTCTTTTGTGGTTTTCTGTGAGACCTGAAATTAAACTCAATAAACAGATGTATGCATATATATGTACTATACAGCAGAAAAATGTGAATTTACCTATAAATATGTGAACTGTAGCTTAATTTATTTATTTCTATCTATGTGGTCTGATAAGCTATTTGCCTTAAATACCACACATGTATCACTTTAATATTTCCCATGTATACAGCGTGTCTGAAGTTATGAATATCTGCGAGGTGTTTTCTTCTGGTGTATGAGTTCTATCAGTAGATCTTTCAGTGTTATTCATGTATTGGTTTGCAGGGATTTGATTGGTTTTTCAGGATTTCATCATGAGCTGACATCGGTTAGAGAACCGTTGGAAAATCTGAAGCTAATCATATCCACCTGTAAATCTACACTTGTATTCTAACCTGATCCTCACTAGTGACTGGCCCTATTCAAGTAGGTAGTTACCTGAGTTCTAGGGGAAGTTGTGACCAGTGGGGTACAGCAGATCGGATGTGAGGACAAATACTCGCTAGCGAGGACATTCCTTATTGGTTGCATTATATCGTGGATTGGCAGAAGCTGGAATTCGTGGGCTAGTTGTTATTTTGCATCCCAGTGGCTAAATGGTCTACAAGCTCGTCTTGTAACCAGAAGGCCCTAGGTTCAAACCTCAGTGGGTGCATACTGCTGAATAGTTCTAGACAAGGACGAAACAGCTGTGCAGTACTCTCAGGTTTTCCAGTGGTTCATCACGAAATCCTTTCAATGTTTGTTAGTCTAGGAGTTACTTTTGGTGATGCCTAAAAACAAAGTTCAACGTCAAGAAAACTTCAGTATTTCTTTTTTCGCTCCTTAAATGACACTGTCACTCATTGACATCAAGCAGAGATTCCCTACCTTCCGTTGGCGTTTATTCATCAGTTACCGAAGAACTGAAAATCACTAAAGAGCAGTGAACGAGTGTTCCAACTTTTTTTGGACTCTTTAGCTAAGCGTATACATGCTCTCACTAGGGGCAAGACAGAAGACTTTCAGATTACAAGGTGAAGCAGAATTCACTGGTCCATCAATTCCAACTTTTGCTTATTCTTGACATATACCGCCCCCGTAAGGAAATGTCAACGGCGAGTAACTGTTCTTATGCTCACTTTGGTTTACATAGCTGATCACAACTTCCAATTAAAACTTTAGGCAAATCCATGCTCTAAGCAATTACCAGTGGGTAGTAGTAAGCGGTGACGCTATCTGTAGCGAAATGACAAAAGTTATAATTAGTGGATTATGGGATTCTATCCCAGTGGCGAATTGTTCAACGATAATTTTGTTTTGATAAAGTCTCACAGTGTTATACAAAATTTACCCATAATGGAGTTACACTCTACCACAGCACACAAGTTTTATTCTTATATCAATTGTTCAATGAGTCTGCCTAGTAACACGAAACCTAACTTAGCTCACCAGCTTATGGGATAACTGGGGAAAAGGAATGGCTGGGTGTAAGGCTGGAAATCTACATGGTGTGTTACACGCTTGCCCTAAAGTTGCTTGTTTGGTGCATGTCAGTGACCAAGATGCCCTTCTTGATAAACCTGTTGTCAAAGATTGGCAAGGCATACCTAAAACTCATCTGAAGAATCATGTTCATCGGGTGCTTTAAAAATGTTGTATACTAAATTTATCATTGGTCTGTTTTGCAGTACATCGATCGTCTGTCATACTATACTCAAAGGGGATACGCCTTTTCCGTCAAATTTGAGACACGCCCCCACGATGCATCAATCAGAGCATTGTTCGTTAGGTCTGATGCTAACAGAGTGGCTTTTCGCTTGCTTTTTACATCATAATGATGTGGCTAGTATGCAGTGTTCATCGACGCGTACTTTATGATAACTTACGTAGTGTATTAGCACATATTACAAATGCTTCTTCGAGGGTAAAAGATACCTTTCCAGAAACATTACAAATGTCTTACAATAAGTATCTTATCATTCAATAATTCAAAGTCCTTAAAAGTTGTAGAGACATTTTCCTAACCGGTGCCTGCAACACGCAATAAACATCCAGAGCATCTTGTTGATTGCTTCCAGCTGTTAGCACTATGGCAAGTCACCTAGCTAGACTACTGTACTACGAACTTCAGTGGAAGAATTCTATGAGTACCAAGACCGAGATCCAGCTATATTTCGTTGAGCACTAATTAATCACTGATTAGCATATCGTGTTTTTGATCATGTGGATTGATTTTGCCCATAAAATTTAGCTACAGACAATAATGAGTGTTAAATCATAGAAATCAATATATCAACAAAGACTATTCACGTTTACTCTACATAGAGGCCCAAACTAACTCGCCGTGGTCTAAATTCAGAGAACCCAACCTTTTGCCCTGTTGTATAGATGTCCAAGACTTTCTTAAGAAACGCACAGTCAAAAAACTCTCCAAAGACAGCGAAAAGACAATTAATCGTGGCTGGAATCTATGTATGGTTTTATTCAACAATCATAACATCAAAAGCTCAAAATCACCTCAACAGAGGAGTTAGGCGGCTATTCAAGAACAAATAATAGTGTGCATCTGTGGCACAGTGGTTAGGACTCTCGCCGGCCATGCACATGGTTCGAGGTTTGATCCCCTGCTGACGCACACCCGATATCTATGGTCGGCCTGCAAAATTTGGGCTACCGATATCTATGCTGAAAATTCCATACTTATACCGTAAACACAGTGTGGGATCAAGCTGTAATAAAAAAAATTCTAGTACAAGATAAGTAATTATAATCAAGCAGAACATTCGCAACGAGCGGGGATGAAAACTATATTTACAAGAATCACACTCCAACGCGTCTTGCAGAATTTTCAAGATCAGTATCGCTTTGATTCAGTCAATAAAAAACGCATTCTCAATGTTCATGCATTTATTCCTCTTGATGAATTTGAATAAAGCAAGAACAACAGCCGTTTGTGCAGAATAATATGGTAGCATCATTTATTTCGTTGGCTTCTCATCAGCTGCTTACAGCCTAAATAAATTATGATATTTAAGTACAGAAAAGTTTTAACATGCAAATTTTACATGTTGTCAGTTGACAGAAATTTTTCTGTCATTTTTATGAGCAATGTATTGCTAATTGTGGAACTTGGAAACCAGATTTATGTGTTCAGAAACATGCGGTTGTTAGTCTTTCCTTGCCTTGGCAACTGACTGTCTTTTTTTCTCTCATCTGATTACGTAATCTTTGTCTTTAGCCTCACCGTCCTTTTATAATCTGTAATTTTGCTTGTCTTTTGTTTCCATGGTTTGAGTTCAACTCAGTAAGTACATTGTTACCCAACTTATTAGTCATTATGCATCTAACACACAGCTCATCTTTATTACGTAACTCCTTTACCATTGTACGCACACATATTTTTTTGTTTAAACTTGAACTGCCTGTGTAAAAGCTATCTAAGCGCAATATTCTGAGCACTATTTACTAATTGTGGAACTTTCTGTGAACTGACAACATGTAAAATTGGCAAGTATTTTAAAACTTTTCTGTACTTAAAGCTCATAATTTATTTAGGCTGTAAGCAGCTGATGAGAAGCCAACGAAATAAATGATGCTACCATATTATTCTGCACAAACGGCTGTTGTTCATGCTTTATTCAAATATTATCAAAGTGTTGCACGATCACGAAGAGAAACATCAGCAGTAGAGTTTCGATGCGGACAGAGACAACTAATAAAGATCAAGTCACCATATGATATTCAGATATCAGAACAACGATATAAAGTCTAGGATAAAAGAGGATAATAATTTACCAAGTTAGTTGAAACGTCGAAATAATTATCAGTATTGTAATTAGACCAAAGAAGAGGGATTTTACTAAAGATCTTTTGGTTACACTTTGCATATCATTACTAGCGAAATTTTTTTTGTCCCTCCACGTTCCCAGTGCAATATAGGGTTTCAGGGGAGACGCTTGAAGTTTCTGTAGCAGTGGTGATTATTTCTTCCAGGATGAGGTTGCTAGCCTCATGCCCAACCTTTCCTCTTTACCAGAGTGTGTCGGCCGGGAGTCGAACCCCGGACCATGTGCATGGTCACCGAGCGTCTTAACCGTTGTGCCACCGACACACTATTACTAGGGTAATGCAGTGCCTATAATAACCTACAGACTAGCTATGAGCAATATCATGTCTACTACAACTCATTATCCCGTGATGGAACCCCCTTACATTAAAAGCTATTTAAAGAAAGTTTGAGTGTCTGTGCACATAGAAAACTCACATTTATTAGATAATGAGATGAGTTTATTTCGAATCGCACCGTGATTTATATGACTTATTAATTAAGGTCGTGAGTAATCCATACCAGTGAAATTAGCAGTATACAGTTTCTCATTAAGGTGGACTGGGATTTCTCATTCTTACAATAATAAGTATAAAATACTTTATAATTGGTTTGTAAAGACTAGTTTCGTTTTTACGAGTTCATCACGGACTGATATCAGTTAGAGAACCGTTGAAACCAAGCAGGGAGTATTGAACAGCTATTTCATCTTAGTCTGAGAATCATCAGTAGTACACACCCACTGGGATTTGCGCTAAAATCACGAATTTGTAGAAGTTACAATCCATGAGCCATTTAATCAGGTCCTGCTGGTGGTTGAATGGTATACGAGCTAGCTGGCCTTGTAACCGGGAGATCTTGGGTTGGAAACCCGGTGAGTGGGTACTGATGATGATCGTTAAACTAGGATGTCCAGCACTCCCTGCTTGGTTTCAATGATTCTCTAACTGATATCAATCGGTAATCAACTCGTAAAAATAAAATATTTTAGTAAAAGAAGATACCTCCTGCTACCTACTATCAGCAGTCGATTTCCAATGCCGTATTTATGAATGACTTGACAATGGTCTCTCCTAATTCACACTTTCTTATTCACTATTTATATTTTGTTTTATTTATTTTGTTGGTGTACAGCTTAAATTGAGAGAGATTAGCGCTGAAACACAACAGAAGCTACCGATGCGTTTACGTGTATTTGAAAAATTTCCGTAAGTTTTGCTCTTTACAGTAGTTACCTTTATAGATGTAGAATTCCCCTCAACCCCGATCACCCCCGACCCCCCCCCAGGTAACCGATACTTAGAGTCACTTTGAACAATAGTGGTGAAAAGTGTCTTTAAGTTAGAAGCATTACATTGCAAACGGCTAACTAATACCTCATTGTCTTCATTGGGAAAAATTTGAGCATTGTGAAATAGATCAAATAAAGTATACCTTTATTTCAACAGTCTACATACAATGATAAGGTTTTGTTCTTTTTGGTAATATTTCGAGCAAAATTACTCTGCTCGTGTTCACACCAACTGTTGGGATTGTTTTATTCACACATTTATGATTTGTACTCATATGCATAGTTCATTATTACAGTTTTTTGCTCATTCGTGTTTTGTGTGTGTGTGTGTGTGTTCAGAATTATATTTCACGTTGATTCATGTGTTTGTATTTAGAATTATATTCCAAGTTGTTGATAGTTGTACTGAATCACCCTTGTTACATGTATCCGGTGTGACTTTAATGAATATCGATTCTGTTATGAGTATTTCTTTCCATTTGTTCACGTTTGCTTTTAGAATACACACATAGTTCCAATCGATATTGTAGCTTTTGTCCCATGCATGTGCAGCTATCGATGAATTTTTTTCAAGATTCTTGTAGGCTTGTGTTCCTGTGGGATAATGACCCTCGGTTAGGCAGGTGTGTATGTTCATTCACTCTCATTTTGAGTGATCTGGACGTTTGCCCACATATTTAGTTGGACAGTCAGCACAAAATATTTTATAAATCAAATTATTTTATCCATCATTTTTATGGGATCTTTCAGTTGATTTATTTTATTTTTGATTAGATTCGTCGGTTTAAAGGTTGTTCGAATGCCGATATTTTTGAGGTTTCTTTGTATTGCCTCTGATGTGCCATTTTTATATGGTATTGCGACTGTTTTTTTCCATTCTTCCATCTTGTTATTCTCCGGTTTTACCCTCTTTTTTCTTTTTTTTATATTATGTTTGATAAATTCTTTTTCCTAGTTGTTATCGAGTAACATTTCGAATGAGATGTTTATTTCCTTACTCTGGTCCTCTGGTGTTGTTGTAAGTCTGCGTATTCTGTCTGCAAGACCTTGTCTTAATCCTCGTTTTACCGAGAGTGGATGAGCTGCGTGATAATCAAAGAATCTTCCAGAATGTGTGGCTTTTCTATATATCGTTGTTTTTATGCTACCATCTGTCCAATATAACTGTCACCGCAGGTGCAGTCGAATTGATAAATACACATAGATGTGGCAAAACTATCAAGCTTATCCTTCGTTTGCGTCCCAATCATTCGTCGGCTAGAGAATGACAAACATAGGTGTGCTGCGTAAAATGTTCTACGTATGCTCCTTGAAAGTCTTTGGAATAGAATCTCACTAGATAAGTCCCCATTAAATTGTAACTTAATAAATAGAGGTTTCTTATGTGCAGTCAGAGTCACAGGTTTCTTCTCTGATGGTTTCATATGTTTCTTTATGAAACTACTCGGATAACCCATCTCCGTCAAGGAATCGTGAATATATTCAAATTCCTTTTGTAAGAGGTCCTCCGTACATATCTTCCTTGCTCTGCTCGCGAGACATTTTACAAGATTCCTTTTATATTTAATGGGCACGTAACTAAGGAAGTGTGTGTACTGCCCTGTGAATGTGCTTTTTCTGTACACACTTCTCCCAAGTGACCCATCTTCTCTCCTACTTAGCAAGACATCCAGGAAATGTAGTTTATTCTCCTGCTCCTCTTCACAAGTAAAGGTAAGCGAAGGGTGGATGTTGTTGAATTTAAGTAAAAACTCGTCTATGTTAACCTTCTCATCAGCTAAGATAAATGTATCATCGACATATCGGTAATACATATCCAACTCCTTGATGGTATCCTTCAATTTCCCGTTTTCAAGTTTTGCGAGAAAGAAGTCAGCTAATATTGGGCCTAATGGTGAACCCATAGCTATTCCATCTACTTGTCGATAGTATGAATTATTGAAGACGAAGTGAACATTCATTGTGCATTTAAGAAGTAATTCTTTGAGGCTACACAAGGGGATTCCTAAGTCTAATTGCCTATCGGTGATTTCTTGACAAATATAATCCACTGTTTCCAAAAGCGGTACGTTAGTGAATAGTGATGATACATCCATGGATAACATGCGTTTACACCTCACATTAGTCTCGGATATTTTAGAAATAAAGTCGAAAACATCACTAATTCTATGTTGCACAATTTCTCTGTGCAAAGGACCCAGGATCTTAACTAACCACTTCGCTGTTCCGTGAAATGGAGAGTTATACATATCTAAAACAGGGCGAAGAGGAAGACCCGGTTTGTGCACTTTTGGTAGACCGTAAAGACGTGGAGTATTGGTACCCGTAGGTTTCATGGACTCATACGTGGTTGATGATAATGCTCCTATTTGGTTCAGTTTTTTGAGGGAGTCCGTCATTTGTTTCTCAGCTCTTACATTGAGGTCTTTGGAAACACCAAGCGATTGGAATTTAGTTTGATCACTCAAAATACCTTCCATTTTCTCAACATAATCGCTTTTGTCCAGTAAAACTATACCATCACCTTTATCCGGCTTGCTAATGATTAAACTTTCGTTGCTTCTAAGTTCTCTTAGAGCTTCTCTGTGTTGTTTAGATAAAAGACTATTTACTGAATGTTTATTATTCTTGTATTGCTGGCAGCTGTCCACTAGCGTCGTTTTGAACCTAGTTAGTTCATCGTCCGACGATGGGGTAAGATCTGACGTTTGAGAATACAAATTTTCAAACTGTATATCAGTGTCTAATTGATCAACTTTAGGAGCATAATCACTAAATTTGGGACCTAGGGATAACACCTCTAATTGAAACTTATTAAGCACGATACTGGAAAAATTGTGAACATACCGGCCCGGATCTGACGGAAATTTCCTTTCAAGCTTTTGGCTTTCGAGAGATTTGACAAGACTAATCCTTTTATTATCACTTCATTAATCCCTGCTTTATTAACTTTTGTTGCTTTTTTCAAATTCGTATTGGGAAATATATGTCTCTAGATAAGGTGATAAGAGTTTAACGCAACCCAGGGAACATAGGAAAGCAAAAAGTAATACTTACCTGCATTTAACTATCTAAACCGCGTTAATTATTATTCCAGATGAAGAGACCTCCTCCACCTCTGTCTCTCTCTATCTCCCTCTCCCTAGTAAAATTCTTATCTTTAAACATCACTTCCATGTTATTTGTTATCAATTTCTTCTTGTAGAAATCGTCCACAAATGATCCAACTGACACGACTTGTCTCCGACTTTTTAATGCCAAAAATTCGTGACAGTTTTATGCGACAATTTGCTGCGATCTCTGCGCTTGAAGAAGTTGAAGATGAAGCCATCGAAGAAATGCTAGCTACAATGACTAAGTCGGCTCAACACAATGCAGAACAAAGCCAATTGAAACTTAACCCACTATATACTACTTCCTCGTTAACTACTAGTAGTAGTATACATAATAAACTAGCTAAAGAAATGTTGAATAATCAAACAAATGTAGAAACACTGAGAGCGATAAAAAGAAAAGTTCATGGATTACATGGTGAAGAAAAATTTCGTGCAATTATTTATCTTCTTAAGTAAGTAATTTCTTGAAAATTGTTTTTACATACAAGTTTATTATTTTATTTCTTTTTTAAATATTAATCTTGAATGATTGATTTTCATCTTGACAGAACAACATATGACTGATGATGGGATATGCTGATGTCACTTTAAAGATGACACTTTCGGAGGAAATAAGTTGACAACCAGAAACTGTCGTGCAGTGGTAGTTGTCAATATAAAATGTATTGTGCTGAATTTTTGACATCATATAAATAAAATACAAGTTTTCAAACAATGTAAGAATAAAACTTGTAAACTATGATGGTAGTGTATAATTCCATTATGGGTAGAATTTATTTTGATAAAGTCTTACAGTCCTGTTATACAGTAATATTTACTGATTCCACCACGCATCGACCAAAAGTTATTGCTACTTATAATAATAATAATTGTGAAACTAGACTTTGCCGATGTTATAAATGTCTGATTTCTCATAAACTCGAAGATATGCAAGTGAAAAGCAACAAGTTGGCGATAAAAGAAGCATCAAAGATACGACTCCAAGGAAACATAGAGAAAACAGAGGTGATGAAGATTCCTGGGCAACACCACCAGCAACAACAACAGACAACAATCAGCCAGCATAAATGGGAGGAACCTGAAATAAACAACCTCCTTTACCTACTTGGAAAGCGGAACTGATGAGGATATCAAAGCAAGAATCGGGAAAGCAAGACAAGCTTTCATTACTCTTAAGTCTGTATTGAGGTCAACAGCACTCAGCGTCAAAAATAACATCCGGATTTTCAACTACAATGTGAAGTCAGTGCTACTTACTATGCGGATCAGAGACTTGCACTTCGTGTCATGAAGAGCACCTCAACACAAACTACAGACCTTCACTAACAGTTGTCTTCGCTCAATACTACTCATGATCAGATGGCCGGCTAAAAAGATCAGTAACAAGAATCTCTGGAGATGAGCGAACCAACACAGCAGGAACCGATTATGCAACAAATAGGCAGAAAGAAATTGAGGTGTATTGGCGACACTCTGAGGAAACCATCAAGTGACATCACTAGACAAGCCCTCGAGTAGATTCCGAAAGGGAAGCGGCGAGTTGCTCGTGAGGTCGAGGGTGACTTGGAGGAGGTTATGCAAAGAGGAGATGAAAGCGTGTGGGCAGACTTGGAACCAGCTGAAAACTCTAGCAGAGAACCGAGAGCAATGGAGACGCGCGGCTGAAGCCTTATGTTCCTCTGGGAATTAAAGGAAATAGTAATAATAGTAATGATAACATAAATAAGAGAAAATATAATGCATCTACTGTTATACCATATAAGGAGGGGACGTCTGAAACACTAGGTAGGAATCCTAGTGAAACAAGCCCTAAGTTGGTATTTTAACCTACAAACTCACTCACTGTAGGCTAAAGGACCCTGTAGGTTGACCCAGTTTACCAAAATAGTATGATTGACAAAATACACTGCAATTGTGGTGAGAGCCGGCTGCCGGCCATAGTTGGTGGACAGTAATTTACGTCAATTTTTATGTCCCCGATATTGGTCGTGAGAAAAGTGAGAACAAAGACTTTGCGTAGGCGGATACAGTTAACATATAGATGATCTGACATTCAAGAAACAGCCACAAAGAGATTCAAGGTTAAGTTCTTGTGAGAAACAATCAATCAGAGGACTGTGTTTTTCTGCTAACAATAATCTATAATAACGGACATGAAAATCTATAAATATGTGTTGATTTCCTTAATAAACGATCTGTTGCCTGGCCCTTGTCTTTTGTTGTTGCACAATTACTGTGAGTCAGGTGTCCTATGTGCGTCACGCAAGTAGATCGGGGGTAATCAAATTGTCAAAGTGTGAGAATTCACTTAAGGTTAGAATGATTGACCCCAAGAAGATAAGTAATTTAGGAAACTGCTTGGCAATTGTACTGCATGCGTTAACACAAAACCACACAATAGGGTAGTTGGGAGAGGGTTACAATTCTAAAAAATAATCTAGGCAGATAGAGAGAGATAGAGGTTGATTACTAGATCCTGTTTATAGAATCTACACCCAACACGTGCAGTAGGAGTGACTCATCATTCCTACCGGAAATATTGAAAATACTACTACCAACCAGACCAAGCGATGGAAAATAATGATGGAATTATAATAAACGAAGTTAGAAAGTTGTGTGAGTAGTGCCTTGATATAATTATGAGCAGTAATAAATTGTGTTCGAAACATGGTGGCATCAGTAAATGTTACTACTGTATAACACACTGTGAAACTTTATCAAAATAAATTTTACCCATATTGGAATTTTCAAATGTTGATCTACTTAAAGTATCCCAACAATATCAGAATAAATTTTTATTGGACAAAAAAATAAGTAACTAGAGTTATACGTGTAGTTGTTTGTTCTCTGCAGACTGAATTCTATTGGTCGAGTGTGCAATGTGTAGCCCCACTTCTAGGTGACCTGTCATCACGGTGAACTCTGAACTGTTGTTATTATTTGGCCTGTTGTAGGCAATCGGCAAGAGGAAATCTTACCTGACCTAATTTTCTCGGGCTAGTCGACACTCATCAGTCTGCATGGCGTGTGTGCAACCTTCAAGGGACTCATATTGTTTCTGAGATCCGGTACTGTGGCACTGTTTTTTGTTCAGTGGAATATCTGGTTACCATCTAAGGATCTTAAAAAACAAGAACTGAACGAGTTATCATCAAGTATGTTAAAGGTAAACTGTAGCAGCCAGTATTGAAAACAACCATCTTAGCCACCTTAATCAGCCAATCACATCATTGCTGATAGATACAGCGCATTTATTGCATTCACATTCCCCTGCTCACATCTAGTTTTCTGATGCTGTGTAGACAGTGACACAGTTATCATGCTTAACCTAGAATTAAGCTGTCTTTATATATTTAGAAATATACTTTATCAGGAAGTGTACCACTTTGTACGTTCGTTGCTACAATTGTCTGGTTGCTCAAAATCATTCAAAAGGTTTCTTAATATTGGCTACTATAGTTTAACTATATACTACTGATTTTTTTGAGATGGGTAGTTTCATATCACTTAAATCAATCATCCAGTAGTGCTTGCCAGCCAGCCAGATTGAGGTAATCTAAACTCTGCCAGACTGTTGTTCCTCTCGCTTGGAACCGGTGTACCCTGTATGACTCAGCTCAGAGCGCCGTATCAGTTCAAACCACCCGGTTTATGGCTACCTACTTGGTCGAACTGCTGGTACCATAAATCAAATCCACAATTTACTAACTGGTTAGTAGTTTTCAGTATACACGGTCCAAATGGTGATATTTCGCCATAGTTTACTCTAATTTTAGTCAGACCAGGTTCTTTGCTTATGAGCTTGACGTTGAACTAGCGAAACAGCCGTCCAATGTTGAAATCAACTCGACCTACCTAGCACGCAGTATTAATGGATATGAGTGGTATGCAAAACTACTCAATCCATCGATCAATTGTATACATTGTTTTATTAAAATACTCTTGCTATCTCGACTACCATTTATGGTATTGAACACGTCACACACACATGTTGCGGTGATCTGAATAACTTCGTTTCTGAATGAAACTACTGTGGAGTTTCATCACTCGCACTGTATACACTGCATATTGCTAAACTTTGGGAAGTGATTTTGAAGGTATGTGGGCACTTGTTACTCTTCTGGCTGCTCACTTCGAAGAAGTTGATTTATCCTTGGGATATTTGAAAAAGAAAGAGAATTAGTGTTGTGTGATCGCAGAGCCTGGAAGACAACTGCTTGAGGCTGGTCACACATTGCCTGTCTGAACTGTTTCTTTGGTTTGGTTCCGAATTGATAACTTACCTCCGGCTATGGACCATCGTAAAGTAAACCAGTGTGTACTGTTTTTGAGTTAAACCTTTTCTAAACCCTCTCTTTAGAGTGCAGAGACAAAAAAGCTGGCATGTTGGTGGTCTTGCAACAACAGAAGGCAAGACACAGAAGCCAAGGTATATCTTTCATTGATCACACTGCCGTTTATATATATACAGTTTATACTCGTTAACCAATCACTGAGCGTGTGATTTCGGTTTATATCAAATGACATGAAATAGAATGTTCAAACAGATACATCGTATTTTGTTGACAATGCAGTATTGAACTGTGGGAACATGTGAGAATAACAGTCCGTTGCTACACACTGTCTGTATCACACGACCCCAGTCTAAGCGGCACATCATGCTCCTATTATGTCCCTATTCCCCAGCAGCACAACTTTGCCCACAGGCCTCCCCAGCATAGTGTAAAAGCAATCTTAAACTATGCCGGTAATCACCTTTAGTCTAATCGCTATCCTAACAATCTTCCTGGCATGGTAGGACCTGCAGAAAAATTAATTCCAGCCAGTGTGTTTGTTAGGTCATTGTGATATGAAAGACCTAACACCACATCCAGGTAGCAGCTATCGATCTTTTTACTCTCCTCCCTTGCTTTGTGTGCTGTATAGAGTGTGCCTAACCAACTAGCAAATTGCGAATTTGATTCTTGCTACAGTTCAAATTTGATAGCACGATCACCATGAGTGTACATAAAAGAATTTCATTTGATATAACACACTGTGAATGACATCAATTGTTGCTTAGATTCATAGTCTACCACAGCGCCTTATTCCCACCCTACCATGAGTTGAATTACACTGGAACTATTGATTATCTACGCTAACACTCAAAAGCACTTGGCGCCACAGGCTGGATATTTAAGACCGTCAAGTGAGTTTGTTTATTCCCGATGCTAGTCATGATGTTAAAACTTTCAAATGATTTATGCTTCCTAAAGAGACAATATATTCTGGTTGTCTATGTGTATGGACAAATGAAAAGTAATTAGGAATATTAAATGTTGTAAACTGGAGAAAGTTAAGTTTTCATGGGGCATGGAATCGCCTCCCAGTAGTGACTGAATGGTCTACGAGCTAGCGTGTCTTGTAACCAGAAAGTCCTGGTTTCAAAGCCTGTTGGTGAGTGTGTACTGATGCAGAGTAGCAAACGGGGATGAAACATCTATCCAGTACCCCCTGTTGCCCTTCAATGGTTTTCAAACCGATGTCAGTTCATGGTGAAATCCTCCAACCAACATTTAAAAATATATGTGTAAAACTTGGGCACTGGGGTAGTAAGTAATTCCATATTAGTTTGTTTATTAGATGTATCACACAGTCAATGAAACAGCATTATTTACTGGATGACGTTTCCAACACAATTTATTTATTGTTCATAGTCATTTCATCAATTATAATCACACAACTTCGAAACTTGAGTTTCATCGTTTTCTTTGTTGTCTCCTATTTATACTCATTTTGGGTAGTAGAATTTTCCAGATATCCAGATAGTAATTCCATACAAAGAAGGAACCTCGAAAACCTTACGCAGAATTCTTAAAAAGGCAGGAATAAAAGTGGATGGAATTCAAACCACGCAAAAACTGAATTGGAAACAAGCTTTGTCGGTTAAAGGATCCAGTATAGAGCCTTTAAAACAAAATAATTTATTTTATCTAATAACCTGCTCGTAATGGTTGTCAGGTGAAATACATAGGTCACACTAGTAGAACAGGTGCAGTCAGACTAGCCTAGCATAAAAATCTAGCAAAATCTAGATCAGTTGACCCCAATAAGATAAGAAATCTAGAGAATAGTTCAGCTGTAGCGCTCACTACACGCAATGACACACAAACAGACAAAAAAATGTGATAAGATGACATTTTTAAAATCTAATGTCGCAGGGTGGAGGGAGGGAGTGATTGATAACAGAAGCTTTGTTTACCGAATCAACTCTCACACATGTGTAATAAGAATGATTCAGCACCTGTTCAGTCGGACATCTGGAAAATTCTACTACTACCCCATCGACGGTAAATAGGAGAGAGAACAAAGAAAACTATAAAACTCAAGTTTTGAAGTCATGTGATTATAATTGATGAAATGATTATGAACAATCAACTGTGTTCGAAACATCAGCCAATAAATAATTCTGTTTCACTGTGTGTAACACATCTATTAAACAAACTTATATGGAATACTTAAAAACGATTAATTTTATTCACTAAATCAATCAATCTTAAATTACACTTTATTTTTCTATTTTCTGTTTTACAATTAAGTGAGTCGAATAAAACACGTTTATTGACAAGTGAGAAGACTACAACTGCTGGTACTAGATCTCTTCTGTCAACACAACATCAAATTCGATTAGAAAGAAGGTAAGATGTGATGAAGGTTTACAAATGTTTTAATAAAAGTGGTGTGATATTTATTCTCTGAGACATCTCCTATCAGTTGGTAACAGATTTTTCAGCAGTACGCACCCACCGGGATTCGAACCCAGGCCCTACTGGTTACAAGGCGAGCTCGTAGACCATTGAGCCACTGGGACCCAATCCAATGGCCAGCCTGTGAATTCTAACTTCTGCCAATTCACGACATAGCGCGACCACTTCGCAATGTCTTCTTCGATGAGTTACTGCCTCATCTTCAACCTGCTGTACCCTACTAGTCACGGCTTACCGGTGGGTGCGTACTGATGAAGAGTCCCAAACTAGGACGAAACAGCCGTCCAGTACTCCCAGGTTTTCCAGTGGTTCTCTAACTGATGTCAGCTCATGATTAAATCCTCCATGCAAGCAAACAAAATCCCTACAAAACCAATACTTAAAAACAGATTTTTCATCAATTTTACATCAGTTAGAAAATGTCAAAAAAAACTAGGAAGCCTTACATATGTGTATTGTTACCGACTGCTGTCAAGGCTCCTCAGCGGTGTACATTCACCCTTTTTTTTATAAGGGGTTAAACCTGAGAATGTAATTATTGAGTATTCTGGAATTTTCGGATTGCCTGGTACAGTTGTAATCGATGTATATGCACAAGAAAAATTGTAAACGCTAATAATAACGTTAATGGCTAAGATAGTGTCAGCGTAGATTACAAATAGGAGATAATAAAAGGGGATAATTATTTTGCTAACAACTTAGTAATTCATAAGTTTCCAGCTTAACACGATCTCTGTCCCTAAGCATGTTATCATTAAGTTCCTATTCTTGTTAGTAAGAGCCCACAATCGTTTGTACCGACTGCTAGTTCTTTCAGACGAGATACAAGGGAAGATTTGGGAATAGAGACGCTGGGTGTTGAGGGTGGGACGATACGCATTCAGACTATTTCTCTCATGAGTTAAGATGTCCGTCAACTAATGTAGTGACAAGCTGACTAAACTGTACATCACCTGCTCTACTGACAACCCCGTAATAGCCTTCTAAAAATGACATAGTCCTTTTCAGTAGACTAGGAAAGACTAAGAGGCGGGGCAGTAAAGTGCAATAGGTAAGATACAAGAGTTAACAAATTAAAAAAGCAAAGGTTACATTATACTGTAAAAAGAACTTGCTGACCCCTATACGAACAAATCGAGATACCAACTGGTCAGTTAAAATAATTATTTGTAAAATTCTTTCGGGGCTACTTTTACAACATTGACATTGTTTGTTTTTTATGCTACAGAAGTATACGAAATAGAGTGGGAAATACTTTGGCTTCACAGAAATCATTCCGAAGTAATGGTGAAGTAAGAGGTAATCCATCAGGAAGAACTGGCAATCAAACTGGTGATACACAGACAACAACTGGAGATAGGACAAGTCATGTTGATATTAAACTGTTACAGCAGAAAGCACAGCTGGCAGAGATTAAAAGGTAAGATATTTCGATTTTCATCAAATAATGTTTCTAGGGACGAAAACTAACTCGTCGTGGTCTTTGAGTTCTACTGTATAACTGTTTGGATATTTCAACAAAGCAAGAACTACAGTTTTAGCAGAATAAAGTGGTACCATCATCGCTTATTTCGTTACTTTCTCGTCAGCTGTTTACAGGCCAAAGACATTATTAAATATATCTACAAAAACAATTTTAACATACTTGAACAGACAGTTCATTTTAAACAAAAATCAATCGATGATTATACGCATACATTAATAATATATGTATATACATATATATATGTAATATTAAACACTATTCCGAACAATAATAATCACACACAATGGAAACTTTTCAGCATTTCGCATTCAGATGAAAGAGAGGTTAAAATATCCAGTTACCAGGGCTTTATAGAGACATTACAGGAAGAATTTGAGTTTCTTGAAAAGATATTGAAGAGCAGTGGGTACCCTAAAAGGTTTATCAACAAGTATGGAAGATCTGAAATCACAAATGTAAAACAAATCACAGTGGGTTTAAAGGCAATCTAAATTCAGCTTGATTATATGGGTGAAAAAATTGCAGTGATGATCAACAGAAGGCTGTGTACATCACTAGCCAGAGCCTATCCTACAGCAAAGCTTGTTCCAGTCTATCGAACAACTTGCTCTCATTCGGTGCAATCAAAAATCGATAGATATCCTTCTCACGTTAACAACTCCAACTGTATATGTACAAATTTACATGTATCTGTGGGAGCAGTTACGTTGGAAGAACAGAAAGAAGAAGGGCATATGTACGATTTTCTGAACATGTACCAAAACGCTTATCAATAAAGGGAACAAATGCTTTAAATAGTGTCATTGCCAGGCATCCCCTTGACACGCGTCATGAGGTGGACGTCGAAAAGTCGTTCAGAGTTATCAATAGGCAAACAGCTCAATTCTCCTTAAGTTTACTGAAGCCATTTCCAACAAGCGCCTGAAACCTGATTTATGCGCCCAGAAAGAAGCGGTTATTAGTCTTTCTTTGCCCTGGTAACTGGATATTTTAACCTCTCTTTCATCTGAATGCGAAATGCTGAAAAGTTTCCATTGTGTGTGGTTATTATTGTTCGGAATAGTGTTTAATATTACATATATATATTATTATTAATGTATGTGTATAATAATCGATTGATTTTTTTAAAATGAACTGTCTGTTCAAGTATGTTAAAATTGTTTTTGTAGATATATTTAATAATGTCTTTGGCCTGTAAGCAGCTGACGAGAAAGTAACGAAATAAGCGATGATGGTACCACTTTATTCTGCTAAAACTGTAGTTCTTGCTTTGTTCAAATTCATTAAGGGAATCTGATGTATGAAATGTCTGAATATTCCTTGATACATACACAGTCAAAAAATCTTCCAAAGGCAACAAGAAGACGATTGTTGTCCCTTAAATCTATGTGGTTCTATTCAATAACAGATAACATCAAAAGTACGGAATCGATCTGACCGTTATTCAAGCTCCTCCAATCTGTCTTGGCTCACACCTTAAGCGTTTTTACTGACAAGTGACAATGTAGCACCACAAAGATTTGTATCCAGTCATTTTTAAAAATGGTGTTATTCCTTTGATTTTAATTCAATTTTAAGTTCCCCGTGGATTGAATAGTCCGAAATTTTCAGCCTCCGTTGACAGACAATGTTAGCTCTGTGTATAGATGCTTCGACAATATCTAAGGATGAACATGAAGTAATTCGATGGGTGATGGTTTTTGACCCAAGTGGTTTAATGATTCACGCTTCAGCGTTTGAATCGATGGGGTACTGGGTTCGAGCCTCAGTGAGAACAAACCATCATACACTCATTAACATCATGGATTCTATCGCTAGTCACCAGTCATAGCATTCCTCCTTTTATGGATGTGCAGTTTTAGTTTTGTAAATCTCTTTTTTTATTGGTAATTTTTCTATCCAAATTATTTTCTCTCTTTCTCATGGATTTATACCAATGTGAAAGTTGATAAGTCGGACAGATTAGTACCTATGTGATATTCATTAACTCTACTTTAGATGTTTTGATGATAATACTGTCAACAACAAAAAAAATTGCATAAGTTATTCGCATTACTCATCCTGAAAAAAACTTTGATCTCTTATGCGGACATAAGCGCACAGACACACACACACACACACAAGGATACTTTGACAAGATGAAACAGATTTGTAGCTAGAATAAACGTACACCCATATCCTACTACAGACTGTTACAGGCTATGAAACCAAGGAAAGCCTACTAGTTGCATCGTTCAACTTGGAGAGTGAAGTCGAAAACATAAGGGCAATAGTATTTTGATGAATAATCCCCATCCAGGAACTAATAATGAAAACGAACCAACATGTAGTTCAACGAAGAGGCTCTATTCGACAAACTGATTTTTCTTCCTAGCTCTGCAGTGGTGATTTGTATGCGATAATTATAGTTATTAGTATACCCGTGACCAGTAGGGTACAGCAGGCTGAAGATGAGGCAGTAAAACCCATCGAAGAAGACAAAGTGAAATGGTCGTGCTTTATCGTGGATCCTGAGCAGTCAGAATTCATAGGCCATTGGATCGAGTCCCAGTGGCTCAGTGGTACACCAGCCAACTTGCTTTGTAACCGGAAGGTCCTGGGTTCGAAGCCCTGTGAGTGCGTCCTCACGAAGAGTCTTATACGAGGATAAAGCAGCTCTCTGGTACTCTCAGGTTTTGCAGGGGCTCTCTAACTGATATCAGCTCATGATGAAATCCTTCATCCAATCGAATACATAAAAGCAGTTGAATAATGAGTGACAATCAAGATGCGCGTGCAAACGAAAGAAAAAGTGTGGTATCATGTCAGAGTTTGAAATAAAAGCAAGAGTTGTACAAGGGGTAAGTGGATAAAAGAGAACAAAAGTTGTTACCATGACAATAGAAATAATTCAACGATTTTCTTTTCGTATGGAGGATTTAATCATGAGCTGGCATCAGTTAGAGAACCACTGGAAAACCTGGGAGTACTGGACAGCTGTTTCGTCCTAGTTTGGGACTCCTCATCAGTACGCACCCACCGGGGTTCGAACCCAGGACCTTCTGGTTACAAGGCGAGCTCGTAGACCATTGAGCCACTGGGACCCAATCCAATGGTCCTTGAATTCTAACTTCTGCCAATTCACGACATAGCGTGACCACTTCGCAATGTCTTCTTCGATGAGTTACTGCCTCATCTTCAACCTGCTGTACCCTACTGGTCACGGCTTCCCACTAGAACCCCAGGTTAACTGCCTGAATAAGGCCAGTCGTTAGTGAGCATCAGATTAATTTTCAGATGTTGGTTTTGTAGGGATTCGGTTTGATTGTATGGAGGATTTAATCATGAGCTGATTTTCTTTTTGTATTCAGAACTCCGGCTCCTCTACGAGAACGCCTTCAAAAATGCAAAGAAGAAAGGTTTTTCTTCACATTATAGATTTCTTTGAAGCGGCAACTTTTTAAGATGGAATGACCAGGGTTGATAAGTTGTTCAATTATCAGGCTGATTATACAGCCACCGTATTCACCAATCAGGGAAGATTTTATTCTCGACATATTCTAGGTCAACGAGATTATCCCCTGGTAACAAATCAACCCCTGATTCGCTGATGTCAGTTAGGGTTAATGTCATTAGTACATCAGTGATGAAACTAAACAGAAATAGGGGCAGTAGACATCCCTAACGGATACCACTGGTTGTCGTGCGTCCGAACGCTGTTGGTATGCGCCTACTACTGAAGAGGCCCTAACCAGGATGAAATAGCTATCCAGTACTCCATATTGGTTTTCAATGATTTTCTAAATGAAATTAAACCTTGATCAAACTGGAAACGTATAAAAATAAGCCGATCATATAAGGCGTTGGACGGTGATGTTGTATTATTTAAACTTAGTAATAACAGTTAGCATGATTGTTCTTAAATCACATATCTCACAATAATTTAACCAGTCACTATTGTATTTGATATTCATATTGTGAAGAATAAAATAATAATATTTTCATTACTTTAGAACACAACAAGAAGTTGAACTGAGAGAGAATCATCCATTTTTTGATCGACCGTTGTTTGTTCTTGGACGAGAGAATCGTTTCCGTCAGTTGTGTTTAATTCTTGTTGAAGCCAGGCATAAAGCTCATGATGCACTAGATTCAACAGATAATGGAAGTTTTATACAGTAAGTTATAATGACACCTTGTCTTACTTAGTTTTTTATTGATTTTTCATCTAATCAGGTTTTTGTTCAGTGAATGCTTGTTTCTATTTGTGACTGAGAATGTGGAGCAAGACAGCTGGTTTTTATTCCTCTTAAAATTGTGGGATAGTGGACACTGACAAAAACACTCTAGAAGGCCTGTGTTTAATATGGCATAAACTGGAGAATTTACAAGCTACTTTACAAAAAAAGTAGCAAAGATGGGATGTCAAACGCACGTAAAGAAGACAGAGGTGATGAGGATACTCTACCGTCAGCAGCAACAACAACAACGACAGATGCCACTCATCATGAAGTCATCTCTTCCACTTTTCTGGATAGCACTATTTTAACTACCGGCCGGCATAGACGAGTGTAACAACAGAAGACAAGGGCCAGGCAACAGATCGTTTATCGAGAAAATCAAGAGATATTTATAGATTTTTATGTACATTATTTTCAGCGTTATTGTTAGCAGAGAGGTAACGTCTTCTGATTGGTTGTTTTTCTGCTGAGGGTTATTCTGTCATCTCTTTTTTGGCGTTTCTTAAACAGCCCATTGATATATCTGCTAATCGTTTCCGCCCAAGCTAGGTCTCCTGTGATTGGTTGTTGAGTTAGTATTTGTTCTTGTTTTTTTTCGCATGACTCCGATTTGGGACGTGAACATTGACGTCAATTACTGTCTACCAATTTTGGCTAGCAGACAGCTTGTTTGTTGTTTCCTTTAATTCCTAGAAGAACATAGGGCTTCTGCCGCGCGTCTCCATTGAGTTCGGTCCTCTGCCAACAACGTTTTCACCCCGCTCCAAGTCTGCCCACATGCTTTCATCTCCTCCTCACATGACCTCCTCCAAGTCACCCTCGCACTGACAACCGACTCGCCGCTTTCCTTTCGGGTTCCGCTCGAGCGATGACTTGTATAGTGATGTCACTTGATGGTTTCCGCAGAGTATGGCCATTCCATCTCCATTTCTTCCTGCCTATTTGTTTCACAGTTGGTTCCTGCTGTGTTGGTTCGCTCGTTGCCAGAGATCCCTGTTGCCGATCTTTTCTGGTCGATCATCTGATCTTGAGTGTTGAGCGAAGACAGCTGTTAGTGAAAGTCTGTAGTTTGTTTGAGGTACTCTTCATGACGCACCAAGTCTTTGATCCGTATGGCAAGTTGCACTGACTACACATTGGAGTTGAAAATACCGATCTTATTTTCATTTTCATGCTGTGTTGTTGACCTCCACACAGATTTGTGAGTAATGAAAGCTTGTCTTGCTTTCCCGATCTTTGCTTTCATATCCTCGTCAGCTCCTCCTGTAGTTGAAACAATGCTTCCTAGGTAGGTGAAGGAGGTTGTTTCTTTCAGGTTCCTCCCATTTATGCTGGTTGATTGTTGTCTGTTGTTCGTGCTATTGTTGTTGGCCAAGAATCTTCATCATCTCTGTTTTGTCTGTGTTCACCTGAAGTCCTATCTTCTCTGGATGCTTCTTCTGCCAGTTTGTTGCTTTCCACTTGCATATCTTCCAGTTTGTGGGAAATCAGACATATATCATCGACGAAGTCCAGATCCTCCAAGTCTCTTTTTGTGTGAGTCCATTTTATGCCTGTTTCCTCATTGTCCGCCAGCTGTCTGTCTCATTTTCCAATCTACTGCAATCAGGAAGATCATTGGCGATAGTAGACAGCCTTGTCTCACTCCCGTCCTTACTTCGAAAGATTCCTTATGTTTTCCGTTGTGGATTACTTGGCGTGTAGCATTGTCGTATAACTGTTGGATGAGATGTATAATTGTTGATGGCACCCCGTAGTAGTGAAGTAGTTGCCAAATGACCTCTCGATAGACGCTGTCTGTTGAAGGCCTTTCCATAGTCGATGAAGTTGAGATAGAAAGGTGACTGTTATTGTTAGCTTTGTTAAATGATGATCCGTAGTGTGGCGATTTGATCAACACATGACTTGTTTCTCCTGAATTCAACTTGTTCCAGTCGAATTTTTTCATCTAGGGTTTGTTTGATTCTCTCATCATAGGAGAATGCCAAAGTCACTACCAAAAATATTAGCTGGATCCTCATTAATCTCAAATTGATGTGTAAATCTGTACTGTACTGTACTCAGCATTAGGAACAAGATCTGAACTGTCAACACTAGTGTCAATTCAGTGATTCTATATTGTTTACGTACTTGTTACTTGTATCAAGGAAAGGATTTTCAACAGGCTATAGACCTTCTCCACCATTTAATATTATTATCCCCTTGGGTTCCGAGTGGAAAATGGGGCCTCTAGAGAACATTTACACTTTGTCAAATTCTCTGTGATCATCTTCACCTGGCCAACAAGATTGCTGTCATCTGCTCCAGCTTACACTATCTCCTTTATATTACACTCGAACTTGAGCCAAACTCCTCGTTTCATATTTGGGTTCTACTCGAATGATGACGTGGTGCGCGGTTTCACCTAATGGTCTAGTCAACGTGTGCCTGTTTCATCTCCCTTTTATTCGACATATTTGTTGAGCGATAGGCTCTTGGTTGATTCCTTGTTAAACTTTCTTCCTTCTAAACATGGAAAATACCCATCAGGACATTAGAGGGAAAAGAACAAGAAGTTCAGCAAAGATGGCGATCTTTTCAGCGATTTCGTTCCCAAAAGCGCCTGTACAATCGCATATATATAGATTAGTTTACATGGATACAATTATTATTTGTTTAATTTCACAAAGTAACGAAGGTGATAATAATTTTCAACTTGATATGAAAGTATGAAGGTACGAATATACAAATTACAAGGGGCTTAGAGGCAAGATTTCATAGGATTAGAAAATAGTTACAACGTATGCAATGTATTTAATATTTGTTAACTGGAGAAATAATTTTAAAGGCGAATCGAAGGGGATAATTATTTTCGACTTGATATGAATTACAAGAGGCTTAGAAACGCAGGGATAGGACGAACTACAGGTGTGAACAAAATGAGCATGGAAACAAATTGGAATCAAAATTTTTCAACTTGAAATGTTAGTTAGGAGGTGTGAATATAGATTAAAAAGGGCCTAAAAACAAAAAAGTTACACAGGATTAGAATATAATTGTAAAATGGTTATTCTAAACGGGGATTACAAGTGTGATCAGGAGAAGCATGGAAAAAAACTTAAAATAACTGATTTTATAACTGAAAAAAGAAATGGGATGAATTGAATGAAGGCAAAGAGAGAAAATTACACACACAGAGAACAAAACAAAGAATCTGAAGGATAAGGGAACATATTGAACTAGGTCCATGTTAATTGTAAATGCTGGACTAGTTTCTTTTGAACGCATAGCTCCGGCTTCTGCTTTCTGAATTTTTCTGACTGGCCATCACGTCCTCAGTATGGAGCAAACGCGGCTGTTTATAGGTCTCCAGCACTTAAATTTCCTCAATACTGAAGATGTAGACAACAAACCACTCAGAATTTATCACCCAAAAAATATGGGAAACAGGATGGAGATGGAGTGAATGACAGGCAACTAGAATGCAGATGGGAAAGAACCAGCTGGGCGTCCAAGGATGACATGGAGGAGAGCTTGTTAAGAGGAAACGAAAATTTATCGGCAATCGTAGAGCGAACCAAAAAAGGATTGCAGGAAATATAGTTAATTGGAGATATAAAAGAGAGGCAGTGAAGATTTAGAGAAACATAGTTAAACTTCTTAGTTTATGAATGCACCCAAGTCGAGTTTGGGCAACGTGAACCAGTCGGTTATCATGGCTTCATCAGTTGAATACATAAGTGTAGAAAGGGTGTTATATTCACGCTGACACATAATACACATGCGGCACACGTCAAAGTTAGCTTAATTGGTGAAAAATGCCAGCATTGATCACTTCTGGTTTGACGGGTATGTTTAAAATGCAGGTCCACAATTGCCATGATCGTCAGTCACAAATCATTATGCACTTAAAGCGTTTCAGAAGGGAATATTTCATTATTTGTATTGCTTTAAAAAAGAGTTTTAGGAGTGAGTACCTGTAGGATTTCAGAACATGCGATCATTTATCACAGATGTGCTACTTCATGAATTCTTATTTAATCGAGTTAAAATGCTAGTAGCTTGAAATTTTACTCATTAATGCCATTTTAAATATAATTCTTTTTAGCTATACACATATACTACTTTAATCCATGTTAGTACTGTAAGCTGCTATCAATAAATATAACTGCATGGCAAGTTGACGATTCCTTCGCACAATCGGAAAGTGCTTGATTTACGACTGCTGTGAAAGATTTTAATTTTATATTTATGGAAATGCAGCTAATGACGGTTGTAGGACGCTCACATACAGCACTATAAAAATCGTTTCAGGTACATTCGAAAGCACAGATGAGGATGTTCAAAACAAATTCGGAAAAGCAAGACAGACAGTCATCATTTGTAAATTAGTTTGGAGCTTGAATGACAAAATTCCATTTTTCAACACCAATGCCAAGTCGGTCACTTCTTCTATATGCGTCAGAAACCTGTGTTATGCTTGTCGTAAAAGAATTATTTTGAAGGCAAAACTGAGGACTTTAATCAACAACCACCCCATTCGATGACTCCACACTGACTATCAGATGGCCAGTTAGAAATGATCAGCAACAAATATTCGGAAGATAACGAAGATGGATTGGGGACACCGTGAAGAGAATGATGAGTGACAATGGGTGTCCAGCTTTTGGCTGGGTGGAACCCGAATGAAGAACGACCAGTCTGGCCTTGGTCTGAGTGTGACATGGAGGAGATCGTGCTAGAATGAAATGACAGCCTACGGGCAATCCTGTGTCCCGCCGAAAATGAACTCAGAGAATAGGACAAAATGTAGATGTTCTGTGGAGGTCCCATTTTCTATTCGAAACTCAAGTGAATAATAATAATTATTATTATATATACATATATGTAGCTCACTGGTGAGCCCATGTCATCTGTTGTATTGTAGATCCACTCCTTACTGCTTACATTTTGATCTGATTAATCAGAGAGTCAGTGGCTGTACCTCAGTGGCACAGCAGTTAGGACACTCGCCAGCCATGCAAATGGTCCGGGGTTCGATCCCCGGCTACGGACGCAATCCTTTACCTCGCTAAGTCAGAAATAAAGCTGGTAAAGAGAGAAGGTTGGGCATGAGGCTGGCGACCCCATCCTGTAAAAATAACCATCACTGCTGCAGAAAATTCGGGCCTCCAGCTTGAAGTAGCCCTGTGTTCTACTGGGAACGTGAAGGAATTAAAAAATCAGGGAGTATTACACGGCACCACCTATTAAGTATGATGATTCGATGCTGACGATGAAATGGAGGCCAAACTCACCGGACATGGAGTTTCATTCTATTGATTATTCATCCCCTCATATTTGTAAAAAAAGTATTGATAAAGACAATATATATTTTTTTATTCCTGTACGTTCCCGGCGGAACAACGTATGACTTCAAGCTAGAGGCTGCGTCCGTGGCCTGGAATCGAATCTCGTACCACCTTCCGGTTCGGTGAGCACTCTACCGCTGCGCCACCGACGTACAAGACACTGCATAATGTCCCATAATCATATAATTTAGACGTATAAAATGATTATTTGTATTTTCTCTATTTTTCAGTAAATTTCTTGGTCTAGTTACCTATTTGGATTGGATAGCTATATTTGTGACAACTTTATCGTGTGCATCAATGTCTTTAGAGACACCACATTTCAGACTGATGAATACGCCTGAAGTACAGGTAAATTGTTACTCTGTAAGAGCTTTTGAACAGTTTGTATATATATATATACATATATATATATATATATATATATATATATATATATATATATATACAGTATATTAACTGATGACAACGTTTGCAGCACAAACTATTGCTGCTCATAATCAATTCAAGTCACTCACACAACTTTTTACTTCATTTATATACATGAGGGGAATTGAGGATTAGATATTTGAATAAAATCAATAATTGGACCTCACTGGTCACGACTTCTCACTAGAACTCAGGAAACTCCAACCTGTAGCAAGTCACTAGCGAGCATCAGATTAACTTTGTATAGTTTTTGGTTTGTATGGTTCTCTAACTGATATCAATCCGTGATCAACTCGTAAAACATAACTAATGCTTACAAACCAAAAACTATAGAAAGTTAATCTGATGCTCGCTAGTGACTTGCTACAGGTTGGAGTTTCCTGAGTTCTAGTGAGAAGTCGTGACCAGTGAGGTCCAATTAGATGTCACGTGTGTGGATGGATGTCCCACCAACGACAATGGTTGGGGTCGCGCTAAATCACGAATTGGTAGAAGTTAGAATTCACGAGCCATTGAATCGAGTCCCAGTGGCTGAATGGTATACGAGCTTGCCTTGTAACCGGAAGGTCCTGGGTTCGAATCCCAGTGGGTGCGTACTGCCGATGATTCCCAAACTAGGATGAAACAGCAGCTGTCCAGTACTCCCTGGTTTTCAATGGTTCTCTAACTGATATCAATCCGTGATCAACTCGTAAAACATAACTAATCCTTACAAACCAAAAACTATAGAAAATCAATAATGTAAGATAAAGTACATTCAGAAATAATAATATGAGTGTTATCAATCAAATACAATCAGATGGGAGATAAGACGAGTGTTTTTATATTCATAATAAGTAACTTGTTAGAATGTTGTGATGTACGTGAATTGAATTGAAATAGAATTTTGAGATTATTTATTATCCTCCCCTGATTTGACTGACTGGTGGTAATAATGTCTTCCATATGTCTGGTATTTGCATTGAGTCATTTCTGTTGCAGGTGATGAGTGTAGACTCGATGAACAAGGATTCAGTAATCAACCTCTCTCTCTCCACCTACATAGATTACTTGTTAGAATTTTAACCCTCTCTCATCACCCTATTTTTTTTATTTATTTTATTCATTTATTCATTTTTATTTTTGATTACAGCTTGATTCCACAATGTATTTTTGGTACAGGTATGGAATTTTCAGCATGGATACCGGTAGCCCAAATTTTGCAGGTCGACCATAGATATCAGGCTTGCGTCGGCAGGGGATCGAACCTCGGACTATGTGCATGGTCGGCGAGAGTCCTAACCACTGTGCCACTGACGCAAATCTGGATTATGGGAGGATTTAAATCATCGGCCGATGAATGACTGGTCTGTCAGTGCATTGTATTATTTTGTCTAATTGCGTCAACCAACTGGGTCTTTTAGCCTAAAAACCTTGTCTAAAAAAGTAATCTAGGTAGGTGGACATAGACAGAGAGATAACTGAATCCTGTTTCATCGAGTCTACACCCACACAACAGATGCAACAGAAGTGACTCAACGCAAATTTCAAAGATATGCATGAAAGATATTACTACCGCCAGTCAGTCAGTCAGTCAGTCAGTCAAATCGGAGGAGGAGGATAATAAATAATCTTAAAATTCCCTTTCAGTGCAATTCACATACATCATAACATTCTAACAAGTTCCTTATTTTGACTATAAAAACACTCGTCTTATTTCCCATCTGATTGTATTTGATCAGCAACACTCATATTATTATTTCTGAATGTACATTATCCTATATTGATTTATATTCAAACCTCTAATCATCAGTTTTATTCATGTATATAAATGAAGGCTGAAAGTTGTGTGAGTGACTTGAAATCATTATGAGTGGCAATAGTTTGTGCTGAAAACGTTGTCATTAGTTTATATTACTGTATAACAACACTGTGTGATTTGTCAAAATAAATTCTTTCCTATAATGAGATAATAATGGCCTTATTCCAGACAGTACTTTTGGTATAAGTATAGAATTTTTAGCATATAGCGTATACAATATTGCATCTAATTTTCCCATTGCAGGAGTAATAATTAAATCAGGGAATTTACATTGATAATATTGTTCAGTAAGAATATGAATATCAGAATAAATTTAAGGTGGAAACATTAAGAACAACAAAGTAATGAAAGAAGGAGTAAAACAGGTTCATTTACTTAGTATTACTTAGTAAATTCGTAGTGTCACGCCTTACGCTTTTTTCTTTACATATAAATGCATCGCAGTCAAATGAGGTATTGTAGAGATTTTATACTTAGTCGTCTCTGAGCATAAAGTTTTCTATAGTTGCTTCTGGTTCTGCCTGATGAAGTTTAAAGGCAGAGTTGTGTATAGAGAGGTTAGTCAGAGTCTGAAAAGATAATATTCACTCATTTCTTTCATGTATCATTGTATCTATGTACAAAAGTATTACCATGTTGGTTGAGTGACACCCAACTTACCCTATTGACAGTCTTGTTGTACCCTTCGCAGTATAGCAAAGCCCTTCTTAATTGACCGACCAGCTGGCTGGCTTCAACATAGAACTTTGCACAGATGTGTATCATTTCGAGTCGCCACACTTCACTAATCACACAAAACCAGAGAAGAAGAAGAAGAAAGTAAAAAGAAATGCCAAATAGAGACAGTTAACAGAGATATGAGTCAAGAAGAATAGTAATATTGAAGAACAATATAGTTTTATTGGGTATTATAAGTCACTAGGAGTGGATGCACGTACACGTACCAATGAGAATGATTTTGAGCCATATCACCGATTGTAACCAGCCCCTGGTTTCCACCGTCCCGAGGACCCTAACAAGGATGTCTACATCTTCCTATGTGACTAGCTCAAACTAACTGTTGTGGATTTCATTGACTATTGAAGCCATATTTTGGTTTCACCATCACTGGTCTTTCTTAATTGGCCCATAGTAGACTAAACAGGGCTATAAGTAAAAAGAAGAGGCGGAATACAAGAATTGACAAACTGTAACCGTAGAGAGTGAGCAGTACTAGAATGTCTTAACTCTTTTGCCTGTCGCATATTCTGAAAAGTCAACATAGAGTGATCTGCTTATACATAATACACCTGTACCTTACACATGCATTCAAACAGGTAATATTAGCTGTATATAATTTAAAGTCAAGCCTTACTGGTGAGTATATATCTTTAATATGAATTCTTGAAAAAAATATATATATTCTGATAATATGTCAACTATTTTTTCTACCATAGATATGTGAATACATCTTCTTTGTTGTGATGACATTGGAAATGACTTTGAAAATATTCGCCAATGGACTAATATTCACTCCAAATGCTCTTTTAAAAGATTTTGGTGGATTTTTAGATTTATTTATCTACATAGTAAGTTAAAATGTTATTTTTGCTAACTTGAAAATTTATTGCAAATAAAACACACTACTTATATTTAAAAAGTAAGCAGAAAAAGGCCGAGAAATTGGTAAACGGTGGCTAGTACTGGATTCCAGGACGGGCATTTCGTCCTATTTGGGACTCGCCAATCGGATGTATCTGCATTTCTCAGTGAGTGATGATGTTCTCACCGAGGCTCGAACCCAGTACCCATAGTTTCAAACGCCAAAGCGTTATCCACTAGACCACTTGGGCCACGAGAGCCACCTCTTGTGCAACGGGTCATATATTAATTATTGAATTGAATTTTTGATTTTCCCGTCGATTGATCGGACCGAAGTGCTCGGTCTCAGGTTGATATATCGGCCTCTTGTGCGAATGCTACGACGATGTCTGCGCATTTAATTAGTATACAATTGGTAGATGGTGGCTAGCAGAGGAATCCAGGATGCGCATTTCGTCCTATTTGGGACTCGTCAACTGGGTTCGAGCCTCAGTGGGAACATCATCACTCACTGAGAAATACAGGTACATCCATCTGACGAGTCCCAAATAGGACGAAATGCGCATCCTGGATTCCACTGCTAGCCACCATCCACCAATTGTATACTAACTAAATGCCCAGACATCGTCGAAGCATCTGCACAAGAAGCCGACATGTCAACCTGAGACCTTGCACTTCGGTTCAATCAATCGACGGGAAAATCAAAAATTCAATTCAAAAGCAGAGAAAGTTTACAAAATATGAAATTGATCTCGTCACGAACCAACGCGGTTTAGAAGTTTTTAAATTTTAAAATCAGGTACTTCAACAATAAATTAATATTAACAGTAGTATCATTAAGTTCATAGGAATTCAGGACTTTTAAGGTTACTGGTAAGCTTAAACGTTTTGTTCCATATAGTCCTGGTAAAATCTGAGTCGCCTCAGGAGCCAGAACACTTAAAACTCATATATGAAGTTACCTGCCTTGCCATTAATATAATAGGAGTGGGCTGATAAAAACACCATCTATCAGAAGTCTATATGCAGTCGTTAGTGTAAACAGGCCAATCTCAGAATTGCTCCCAATCATGTGAGTGGTCCTGGATTCTATTCCCAGCCTGGTTTATTGACCGATATTTAGTCTAGAAAAGATGGTAGTCTGGGTGTGAGGCTAAATACCTCAGCCCGTCAAATCCTGAGGCCCTGTGTCAACTCTCAACCAAAGCGATATAAAGAAAGCAGTTTGATAGGGCCAGAACAACAGGTTGAGCAGAATAGAATAGTATCAACATTTATTTCGCAGGCTTCTCATCACCTACCTACAGCCAATACAAATTATTTCCATGTTTATGCACAGAAGAATCTTAAAATACTTGTAAATGTTTTGATATGCTGTCGTATAACAACACGAAACAGCAAACTTAATAAATAGTTACAGGATTTAATCATGGAAAACTTGGGAGTACTGGACAGCTGTTTCGTCCTAGTTTTGGACTCTTCATCGGTACGCACACACCCATCACAACTGGGTGCGAACCCAGAACCTTCTGGCTACAAGGCTATCGAGCCAGCTCGTAGGCCATTAAGCCATTGGAACCCGGTCCAATGGCTAGCCCATGAATTCTAACTTCTGCCAATTCAAGAAATAGCGCAACCGTTAGCCAATATCTTCGATGAGTACTTGTCCTCACACCCGACCTGCTGCACCCTGCGGGTCATGACTTCCCACTAGAACCCGAGGTAACTACCTACTTGAAAAGGGCCAGTCGCCAATGAGAATAAATAAATAATGCTCTCAAAATTATGCCTATATGCATTTCATCCAGAGGGTGCAAGTTTAAACGAAAATCAATGTCTGCATACAAAGGTAAAGGAGTTACATAATGAGGAAAAGTGTTGAGTAAGATATAGAGTAACTAATATTTTGAATAACAATGTGATGAGTTCAACTGTAATCGTTTAAACGAAAATCAATGTCTGCATACAAAGGTAAAGGAGTTACATAATGAGGAAAAGTGTTGAGTAAGATATAGAGTAACTAATATTTTGAATAACAATGTGATGAGTTCAACTGCAATCGTAGAAACAAGAGACAAACAAGATTAGTGTATATCCAATGGTAAGAGAGGCTGGTCGACGCCCAAGATTACGCGATCGAATGAGAGAAAGAGAAAGCGAGAGAATAAAGGCATCTAGTTAACCCGCTGTGCATCGTTGGCACAGCGGTTAGGACGCTCACCGACCATGGACATAGTCCGAGGTTCGATCCCACCGATGCACACCCGTTATCAATTGTTGGCCTGCCAAATTTGGGCTACCGATATCATATGCTGAAAATTCCATACTTGTACCAAAATACTATGTAGTAAAATCAAGCTATAATAAAATAAATAAATAAATAAGACGGATGATAACTGCTTCTACCTGAACACAAAAATCAGATTTCAATCGTTTCATGGCGACTACTTCGGCAGACTTAATGGAAAGTGAAATATTTTTTCTACTGATCTGTACTGATAAGATATTTAACAGCGTTACTGCTGTAAGCGTTTATTCCCTTGATAGGTAGGCCTTTTTGGTTAGCGTTCAGAAAGTCAGAGTTGTGGTCTTCTTTCTTTTCTCTAGTTATAATCTATATAAATGCAATTTTCTGAACACTGTTTATTAATTTTGCAGCTTCCTGTCAAGTAACATGACGTAATATTTACAAAGCTGCAGCTGATGACAAGGCCACGAGACAAGTGATGGCATCCTCATATTCTCCACAAACTGCTGTTGTTCTAGCTTTAATGAAATTCACAAAGGGAATAAATCTATATATGTACATATGTATGGCACAGTGGTAGAATGCTCGCCAACCACACCTCACGTGGTCCAGGGTTCGATTCCAGACGGACGCACTACTTTACCTCGCTGAGTCAGTAATAGCAACCTCATCCTGTAAAAATAAACGCCACTGCTATCTAAACTTCAAGCCTATAGCTTGAAGTAGCCCTATGTTGTTCCACTGGGAACGTACAGGAATAAAATAATAATAGTAATAATCCCCACTACTACCTCCCTGTTCTTGAACCATTCTAGAAAGTATACACATCGAACAATCAGAATGTACCTGTCTCCAAAGCAACAGGTGAACAGATATAGTATTGTTCTATAAGGAGTTCGATAATAGAACACCTCGTCAACATTGGTCATTTTTCCACCTGAACAGACGTCTCCTTCTTCAAAGTGATCTACAAAGTCTCTTTTGCCTTACTGAAGCCTTAGCCATTCAGATAAGGAAAGTGGTGTTGTGCTTACAAGTGAAAATTATTCAACCACTTCTACTATCATGCTAACAACTGTGACTGACTTGATTTTTAATACGGGGGATGGTGATTAGCAGTGGAATCCAGGATAACGCGCATTTCGCCTGTCCTATTTGAGACTCGTCAAGTAGCTGGATGTACCTGCATTCCAAAGTGCATGAGTGATGATGTTCCCACCAACGAGGCTTGAAGCCTATGTTCCACTGGAAATGTACAGGAAATTTTAAAAAATTATATATATGACTTATACCTTATTATTAATAATGCTCCCTTGGGTTCCTAGTGGAACATAGGGCTTCAACTGCACTTCTCCACTTGCTTCTGTTTTCTGCTGCACTTTTCACATGCATCCATGTTGGTCAGTCCATACTGTTTCAACTCCTCTTCACACAATCTCCTACATGTCACCCTTGCACTGACGTCCCACTCGCCGCTTCCCTTTCGGCCTGGTTCCACTCGAGCAATGGCCTGACAAGGGCGCGAAGTCACCCAGCGGCCTACTCAGCGAGTGTCCAATCCATCTTCACTTTCTCCTGCATATTTGTTGGTTGGCAATTGGTTCTTGTTTTGTTTGTTCCCATAGTTTCCCATAGTTGGTGGTTCTTTCCGGCCCGGCCATCTGATCTTCAGTATAGAGCCAGCAAAGACAGCTGTTGGTTGATAAAGGTCTGGAACAGGCTGTTGGAAATATTCTTTGTGACCTGCCCACCAAGTTTCTGATCCGTATAGAAGAGCTGACTGACTTGACGCTGTTTGTATTGAAAATTCGACCTAATTTTGTTGTTGATACTGAGTGACGAAGGTTTGCAGATTGGTTTCAGGTTGATGAATGTGTTTCTCGCCTTCTCGATTCTCGCTCGATTTGACATTCTCGTCCGTTACTTCTCCTGTAGTTGAGACAATGCTCCTTAGAATGAAGTGAATGAAGTAGCCTCTTTCAAATCCCTCCCGTTGATGGTGACTTATCCATTAATCTCTTTTAATTGCCGTTCAAATTTAGAGAAGTGGAGCGTGATTATTATTAAAGAAAACGGGATGGAGAAACCACTTCTTGTTGTTGTTGTTGTTGACAAAACTTTGTTTATTTGTATTTTCTTCACTTCAATAGCTCTTATATATATAAATAAATTAAGTTTTATCCTCCTTGGATTCCTCAATCTCTCCGTGTCTTACAGTCATCTTGCATACTCCCTCCTCCTATACATTGTCATTACTATTTATTAAGCTGACTGTTTACTCCTTTAATACTCTAGTTGTTGTTGTTTTTGTTGACAGAGTCCTAGAATCATTTCTCTTCGAAAGCTAATCAACCGAAAATATAGTTTAAAATAAGATTATCTTCAATGCTTAAGCAACAAACTACTACCACTACTACTACTAGAACTACTTATGTCCACTAGCATTGATCTTATTGTTATTGTTGTTGATTTCGATCGGATAGTATTCAGTGCTTTCTACAACATTTAACCTAATTACTAGAAGAGTTCAGTGTATACCTAAGAGATCACGTATATGTGTGTACGTGTGTGTGTGTGTGTGTGAATCCGCGTGTAAATACTCCTCTCTATTTTGGTTTTTCTTTTTGTGATTTTGAGAAGACCTCCTTATAGACATAACAAATCAACCTTTCCTAAATCCAATTTTCTAATCTTGATAAATAGCACCAATTTAATTACGAATATATACATAAACATATA